GGCACTGTCTGTGACGGGGTTTTTAGCCAGTAAACAAATCACTGTATTGGAACACCCTCCCTACTCACCTGGTCTGGCCCCCAATGACTTCTTTCTTTACCCAAAGATAAAGGAAATACTGAAAGGAAGACATTTTGATGACATTCAGGACATCAAGGGTAATACAACGACAGCTTTGATGGCCATTCCAGAAAGAGTTCCAAAATTGCTTTGAAGGGTGGACTACGTGCAGGCGTCGGTGCAGGGGAGTACTTCGAAGGTGACCGTAGTGATATTCAGCAAAGAGGTATGTAGCACTTTTTCTAGGATGAGTTCGCGAACGTAATTGTCAGAACTTGTATCCAGGTGGAGACTAAAATTTTAAATAGGGTGAACAGGATAGGCCTCACTAAGAACTTGATCTTGAATAAAGACATAAAGGAAATGAGGGCAAAAGTCATATAGATATCTGGGTGAAGAGGTTTCCAGGCAGAGGGGAGAGCAAAGGTCCTGGGGCTGGAGCATGCCTGTGAATTCCAGGAACAGCAAGGAAGCCTGTGAGGTCAGAGGGAGCGATAAGGGGGTGGGGGCGGGGGCAGGGGGCAGGGGCATGTACAGTGAGAGGAGAAGCCATTGCAAGGTTTGGAGCAAAGGGAGTGACATTTTAACAGATCACTTTGGCTGGCTGGATGTGGAACGTACAGGCATCAGGGATAATCTCACAGCTTTGGCCAGAGCAATGAAAGAAGACTGCACTGTCCAAAAGCTGGGAAAGTGAGTGGGAGGGACAGGTTTTAGTGGAGGGTGGAGAAGGGATGAAGGGGTGGAGATCAGAAGGTTAATTCTAAAAACTTTAAGTGTGAAATGCCTAAGTTTCAGGTATTAATTGAGCAACTAAGTATGTGAGTCTATGATTTAGGGGAAGGGTCTGGACTGGACTGAACTGGACTGGCAATATATTGGGTTGTCGGAAAAGTCATGATGCATTTTTGCAATGAAAAACAGAAAAAATACATCATGACTTTTCCAACAACCCAATACATTTGGGAGTTGTCACAATAGAGATGGTACTTAAAGCTATGAGACTGGGGGGCCAGCCGAGTGGCTCAGTTGGTTAAGAGCTTGCTCAACAGAGCAAGCTCTGAGCAACAGGGTCGCTGGTTCTATTCCCACATGGGCCAGTGATGCTGTGCCCGAGCTGGGCTGCCACTGAGCTGCCAACAGGTGGCAGGATGGCTCAGCTGGTGAGAGCACGTGCTCCTAACAGCAAGGTTGCCTTTTCAAGATGGTGGGCTATGCCACCTGCAACTAAGACTGAACTAGGCACCTTGAGCTGAGCTGCCACCCAGGTGACTCAGGGGGTAGAGCACGAGCTCTTAACAACAAAGCTGTTGGTTCAACGCCGGCATGGGATGGTGGCTACACCCACCCCCAACTAAGACTGAACTCAGCACCTTGAGCTAAGCTGCGCAACTGGACTTGGAGCTGAGCTTGCTGTACCCTCCACAACTAAGATTGAAGGACAACAACTTGGCTGTTTCCCTTCCCCAATTTCCCAACACTGTTCCCCTCCCCCAATTCCCCAATAAAATCTTAAAAAAAAAAGCTATGACACTGGATGAGATTACCCAAGACATGAGGACAGACAAAAACAGAGAGGAGTTGGGCCGGCCGAGTGGCGCAATGGTTAAGAACTGGCTTGGGACGCCAGAGGGCCCCGGTTCAGATCCCACATATGAGGGCCAGTGACACTGCCCTCTACAGCTAAGATGCTGAACAACAGCTCAACCTGGAGCTGGGCTGCCATGGGTAGCCGGCAACAGCATAGGCTGCAGCCCCTGTGGCAGTGGGTTGCCATGGGCTACCGTGTGTAGCCAGCAGCCAGCATGTGTAGCCAGCAGCCAGCGTGAGCGGCCAGCAGCTGCAGTGAGCGGCCGTCCAGAAGCCGGCGACTGATCTGCCTCACCCGGGAAGAGCGCAATGATGGTGCCAATTTGGGCCAGTGAAGCAACGTCCTCCACAACTAGACTGAAGAACAAAAGGACAGCAACTTGTCTGTTCCCCTTCCCCCAACTTCCTAATAAAAATCTTATCCCCCCAACTTCCTAATAAAAATCTTTAAAAAAAACAAAACAGAGAGGTATTATTTAAGGCATGGAACTATTAAAATGTTCTCCCAGGGAGCCATCCTCTACAAGTGAAGCTCGTAACTCAAGGTATCTCTCTCCTTCATTACAGCACATGTGCACACACACATGCACACTTAAATTCCTCCTTCCTCTATCACTGATGTCATTCTGCTGAGTGAGAAGGAAAATTCCCTTTTAGGGATACTGTCACCTAATAAGAAAGTAACCCATGGAAGGGAGAAAAAGTACCCTGGGCACAGACACAATAGTAGTGACCCTTACATGGCAGGGCAATCATACAGGCTGTGGTGTTATAAAGTACTGTATTCAGATTCTAGCTCCAACCTTCACCAACTGGTGTAACCTCAGTCAACTCACTTGCCCTCTCCTCCTTATGTTAAATGATAATAACATTGGCTACATCAAAGATAGCTTAGAACACAGTTAACAACAGTCCATCAATATCTGTTAAACAAAGGAGGAATGAATGGTAAAGATAATCTATAAAAGAGCCTGACTCATTGAGAATGATCAGTAAATACTGCCATATGGCTAAGTGAAAGACAATGTACCTTCTTGTATTTCCCTCCTCCTTTTTTTCATGCTGTCCCTTTCCTTTTCTGTATATGACACAATAGCAAAACCATGCATGTATACAGGACCAAACTGGTTACAAAGCTTTGCCTTCTACATTATCTCAAAACTGGAACCTCACAGCAGCCTTCTGAGAGCAGGGAATACAATCCCCCTGTCCCAGATGAGGAAACTGAGACTTGGACAGAAAATAGCCTCCTAACTCCGGGAACATTTTGAGGCTGAGACAGTAACAAAAACACTGCACTCAGCCCAGGGGTGGAGCATCTGTTGCCAAACCAAACCTGCCTAACATCCTGTTGGGCGGGTAAGAGGCAGGTGAGCAAAAGACCCAGAAGCTTAGGGGAAGGGAAGTATTTGTTTGGTAATCCATTTAAAAAAAACGGGCACAGATCCCTGAGCCCTGTGCCCTCCCTGTTCCAGTCACATGGTCACATGGGTCACACACACCCTGTCACCAGCTTCCAGGGCATCTGTGGGAGCAGGAGGTGTACAGAGGATTAGGTGGTGGGGAGGCTCTGGGGTGAGGAAGTTATGGGAAAGGATGGAGCATGGTGGGGAGCAGGCATGGCATAGATGAAATATGGAGGTACATGCGACAAAAAGCAGGGAGGAGTTAGAAATGGAGAACAAGGGAGACAAATGGATGTGAAGTGATGTGAAGTGGGGGTCAAATGGGAGTACAGAGGCAGAATAATTGGGAGCACTTAGAAAGGCACAGGAACGAAGCTGGGGACAACCAGTGGGGCCAGAGTGAAAGCTGGGGCCACTGAGAATCACTGAAAGACAGGCTCTGACTCATAAGTTAAGGATACAGGGGAAACTGAGGTACTGACGGGGAACCCAAGATTGAAGCTGGGGTCCCTGGGGTGGGGGACACAAGTTAGAGATGAGACGAGGGGTCACGGGATGGGAGTTGGGAACGCTGGGGAACCAAAGGGCGGAATCTGGGGGTACTCAGGGGTCACACAAGGGTCAATGGAGGACATAAATCTAGGAACACGGGGGACGTGCAAATTAGGAACGGGTGGAAACCACGAAGTCTGGGGCGCAGGGGAAGTTTGGGTAGGGGCCCCCAGGCCCCGCCTCCGGGGCCCCCAGGCCCCGCCTCCCCTGCGCCGTCACTCACCTGGGCTTACTCAGCACTTCTGCCTCTTTCTACTTCCGCAAACAAATGCGCCCCTGGCCACGTGACGGCCCACCGCTTTCCGCCAATCACAGAAGGCCGTGCTTCCCCGGCCGCCGCTGCGGTCCCGCCCCCACGCTGCGAGCTCAGTCAGCGCTGCGAGCGCTGCGCTCGAGCAAGGTGCGGAGGGGGTCCGCCATGTTTTATAACTGCCCAATGGGGCTATTGGCTGCAGCCAATCTTCGCCGGCGGGGTGCGGCCATGTCTGTGCGGGGCGGCAGGTCCATGTAATGGCTGGTTGGCAGACATGTTGATGAGGGGCAGGACTCTTCTCCTCCCCCCTCCCGCCTGCACCGTCTGCCTCCTTAAAAAGTTGGAGGCCTGAAGTCTGAACCTACTGTTAATGACTGCTCGTAAAGATAAAGCTAAAACCAACAAAGACGTAGGACATACCTGGGAGGAACCGGCTTTGATTTTGTAGGGTACTCTCAAGCTAGGGCTTCCAGATTTCGCAAATAAAAACTCTGGGATGCCCAGTTAAATTTGAATTTCAGCTAAGCAACCAATAATTTTTTCGTATAAGTAAACAATACTAAGTATAGTTATGCTAAAAAAAAATTACTAGTTATCAGGCATCCCTTACCCCAAGCCAATCTCAGGAGCTATCTAAGCACTTTTAGTAGAAACTTGGGCACATGACTTGGCCTCTGAACTTGTCTGAGAGGTGAGCACAGAAATACCTGACAGGGTTATTGTACGGACTAGAGATAAATTAATCCCAGGGCCTACACATAGTGGGATTTCAATAAATGACGGTTGTGAAGATTAGGAATGTTGAGAATGAGGTAGGCTGAAAAGAAGCGAGGAGACTGGGTTTTTTAGTCACAGATCTGCTTCTGGCTGAGCAGATCATGTCTCCTTTCTAGCCCACCGGGCTTGGTTGGACAACTTTTATTCCCTAACCCTAGGTCTAGATGAAGTCTCCAAACTGCTCTGTCCATGTGGGAAGTTGTAGTTGCTGTTGTCATTCCTGTGAAAAGGGAGTTTTGTCCTCAGTCTGTCCAAAGATATTAGTGCCCAGACTAGGGGCAGCCAATGCAACTGGCACAAGGCTTAGTTCAGAATCTGGACAGGTTAAGAGACTAACTAACCATAGTAACTAATATTTGTACAGAGCTTTACCAGTTAGAAAGCAACTGGACTTCACATCCATCATTGTTGGGTTGAGTTACTCCTGTCAGCATTTTACAGATGGTGACGTAACAAAAGCCCAAGCCTTTAGATAAATTTTATAAGCGTTTATTTGAGCCAAACTGATGTCATATGCTGGGGAGCAAGATCTCAGATGCTCCCGAGAAGAACAGTTTTGCAGTTTTTTTAAATGCACTTGAAATTAAGGAGGAACCATAAAGAAGATTAGAGAAAGCAAGGTGGGGGTTGGATTACAGTTTAGTTAAAAAGATTGTGTGCTGTCTTGAGGGTCAATACACCCTTTGAGGGGTTACTTCTCATACTTCAAAGATGTGTTAACCTAGATGCTCAAGAACAATGGACACAGCTGGCTTAACACCTTTGTCTAAAGAAGTTATAGGTGTGGCTCCCCACCATGACCTGCCCATTTAGGAATTTATGACCTGATCGCCCTGTGAAGTTACTTTCCATAGAACCCATTTTTTTCATTCACACAAGTGAGGAAATGGCTTCCTTAAACTAATTAAAATTTTGCACAAGAGCTTCAGCTTGGAGTGCAAAGAGTGGGATGAAGACTCGGAATTCCTGATAAAAATATCTTGCCCTATACACTCAAACAAGTGAAGTTAGGGTGATGGTTATCAGGGAGCTTGAAAAAGGCCAGACATCCACCCACTACCAAGCAATCAGACCAGAGAAAATGAGTAGGTTCAACAGGATGAGTCCCATTCTCCGACAAACACCCACCTTTGTGTTCAAGGTGGGTCTGCAAGGCAAGTTTGTCAACAGACACACCACTGAATCTGAAATGCAGAAAAGGCCAGGGGATGCTGGATCAATCTTTAGACACACTCAGAGGTCTGGAGGAAATTAATTAAATAGAATCTCAAGGCCTAATAAAGTTGAGTGCCCCTCCCCTAGGTATTTCTGGTGAAAGCTGTTAAATGAGTAGATAAAGCAAGGGATGAAGCATAGGAGGTTATTAGGTCACTGAATGAGCAAGCAATGGAAAGGGAGGGGCAAGTAAGCACAAGGGAATAGTTCTGTTGGGTTTCTACTGGATTTTGCCTTGGAGCAGTTCAAGTCAAAGCTTCTCTGAGGGGCTGTGCTAGGCCCTGCAGCTACAGATATCCTGGAGCAAGGTGTCTGCCTTCTAGGAGCCTAGGGTCCAGAAGGTCAGACTAGATCAAGTCCCCTCCTTCAAGGAGTTAGATGGAAATTTAACTGACATGCTACCAGTGCAATTTTACACTCTTGTTCGATCCTCACAAGAACCCTAAGAAGTAGTACTATTATCCCCACTTTATAGATGAAGAAACCGAGATTCTGCAAGGGGAAATGATCCCTAGAATCACATGTCAATAAGAGGCAGAACCAGAATCAGGACCTGTCTTATCTTTTCTTTCCATAAACTATAGATGTTTGGCAATGTTCTTGGCACTGATGAAACCACAGCAAACAAAATAAATAAAAGTCCCCACCCTCGTGTTGCTCATCGTCGAATGGGGAAGGCAGACAATAAACAAGATAGAGAAGTCCAACATAGAGCGTGTTTTGCCAACGTCTGGGGGCGAAGTGTCATGGTTTTAGCATCTTTCTTCAAAAAACTTTGAGTGTCGAATCTGGGCTTGTGCATATGAGTGCCATGGCACGAGTCCTTCCATTTTCTACATGTTTGACCTTTTTATAATTAAAAAGTTAAGAAAAAATATAGTGTGCTAGCTACATGCTATGGAGTAAAAGCAGGGAGGAGAGGCAGGGGAGGGCTGCAGTTTTAAACAGAGTGACCGGGGAAGGTCTCATTGAGAAGGGAGACATTTAAATAAAGACCTGAGGTTGATGAGGGAGCGAGCTGTGTGATAACCTAGGAAAGAATGTTCCAGAAAGAGGGAACAGCCAGAGCAAAGACCCTGAGGTGGAAGTCTGTCTTGCTTGTTTAGAGCAAAACGAGGAGGCTAGTGTTCCCAGAGTAGAGTGAGAGAGCGGGAGCATAGCAGGCAATGAGGCTGAAGGGTTATGGGGACCAATTTAAAACTTTGGCTTTCCCTCTGAGGGAAATGGGGAGCCACAGAGGTTTGTGAGCAGAGGAGTGACCTGATCAGACTTAGGTTTTAACAGATCTATTACAGAATAGACTGTAAGGGCAAGGCAGAGAGGCTGGGAGATCAGCAGAGACAATGGATGGCCACCCTGTCATTTAATCATCACAACTGTAGGATCACTCCAGATGGGTTTGTGTTATGATAAAATATGTAAGGTATAGAGAGCATTGTGAGAAGGCATTTTTGAACTCTGTCCTGTAGAAAGCTTTCTGACAGGACTCTTGAGCAGGGGTGGGAAAACGATCCTGCCTGCCACCTGTTCCTGTAAACAAAGTTTTATTGGCACACATCATTCATTTTCATACGTGTATACTTTCTACAATGGCAGAGTGGAGTAATCGTGACGGAAACCGTATGGTCCATAAAGCCTGAAATATGTCTATCTGGCCCTTTATAGAAAAAAAATTTTTTTTACCAACCCCTGGCCCTATTCTTAAGTTGGGCTTCACAGATTGAAATAGAAGTTTGCCGGCTGGAGTAGGAAAGTAAGAATATTCCAGGTGGAAAGAGCTATATGAAAAAGGTCAACATCATGAGATTGTGTGGATTGTTTGGAGAACTGCAAGAGGCTGAGCATTGCTGGAACCTGCTGTGTGAGCAGGTGAGCAGGCAGGTGAGCTGCAGAGGCCAAGCATGGTCTCCAGTGCCAGGCTAAGGGTGAGGGCCTTGCCCTATAGGCAGTGGGAGCCCCAGAAGGGCTACAAGCAGGAAAGTGACATGGAAAAAAAAACCCTGCTGCTGTGGGAGAGGTCACTGAAGGGCACAGAGGTCACGAGGCAGCTGTATAATGATTACACTAATTATGTGGCTTCTGACTTGACATGGGGGCCATTGGGTCTTGTGCCCTCCTCAGGAAGGAAATGAGTGCAGGTGACCTTGGGCTGTGAGGCGGCAGCCTCATGTTCCCATCCTAAGGGGAAAAACCAGTACCGACCAGCAAAGGCAGGATTTCCCCAGCTCAGGGGCTCACAGGGCAAATTGTGGTCTGAGGAGAGGCTGGTTCTCAGGACAGGGGACCAAGTAAGCTTTGCTAGAAGCTGACCTGGACCTCAGTTCTGAAGGATGGTGAGGGTTTGGAGAGGCCAAGTGGAAGGCATTTCAAGGACATATGCCAGTGATCATGCAGAGCCTGGCCTCTCAGGATGGGAGTACAGTATGGGGTTCTCGAGGGTCAGAGTGTGCAAGGCTTTGTCCCTTTCTTTTTTCTCCTGGGCTCCTCACCCTCACTTCAGTTTCTTCGGCCAGTAATCATGAAGTACCCACTATGTGCATGGCCTTGGTCTTGGTGGCATGGGGACACGAAAGATATCTCTAACCCCATCCTTAGAGTTTACAGTTCAATACAAACTTGCCTCAAACACACAGATAATTGCTTGTTGTGAAAAAGCCCTGAGAGGACTTGTCGAGTGGCTCAGTTGGTTAAGAGCGTGAGCTCTGAGCAACAGGGTTGCCGGTTTGATTCCCACAGGGGCCAGTGAGCTGCGCCCGAGCTGAGCTGCCACTGAGCTGCCAACAGGTGGCAGGATAGCTCAGCTAGGTGAGAGCACGTGCTTCCAACAATAAGGTTACCGGTTCAATTCCCGCATGGGATGACACGGCACCTTGAGCTGAGCTGCTGACGGGAGGCCGGATGACGACTGGACTTGGTGCTGAGCTAGCTGCGCCGTCCACAACTAAGATTGAA